CTTTGCTGGTGACGAGGCCAGAAACCCACCGCCACCACCCTCGTGGTCCTCTGAAGGAAGGAAACCTCCACCACCTTCAACGTCGGAATCAGGACCATTATCACCTGAAGGAAGGAAACCACCGCCACTGCCACCATTTTCCTCGTACTCTTCATTCTGCATGGCCATGGCAAGCTTTTCATCTTCAAGTTGCTGCGCCATCTTTGAATCAACTGCGTGGCTGCCGGTAACGACGTCGGCTGCTTTCGTTGCCCCTGCTGGCGACGATGCCAGAAATCCCTCGCCATAGACCTCCACCTTCTCATTGGAAGGAATGAATCCACCACCACCTTCGTTGCTATCATCGTCCGAGCATAGATAATAGTCCAGTTCTCTCTGACCTGTCGGAAGGGAAACAACGCCACCATCACTGGCATTGCCATCTTCGTCCTCCTGTAGCGTAATACCGAGTTCTTCGTCTTGGAGTTGTTGTGCTAGTTCGGCATCTGGGTTACGATCCTCTTCCTCTTGGAGTTGTCGGGCCAGCCTGGCATCTGAGTCCATCTGATCGTTGTCGCTATCACTATCACTCTGAATGACTTGAGGACGCCGTGCAACGGATTCAATCTTCTCCGACGGAGGTGGTTTCTTGGTACTGATCTGACCGATATTGCTATCGTTGGGCGAAAAGAACGGGACTGTCTTGTGTTTTCCATCGGATTTGGGTTCGTCATCACTATCGCTGTCATCGTCGTCCACAATTGCCCTGGCAGCTGCTGGCTTTTTGTCAGCATCTTCCCATTCAATTTCTTCACTGTCATCGTCATTCTCGTCGCTTTTACTGTGATTATCCTCTAGAATGGAGAGCTTTTTCTTGGAAAACTCGGCCAAAAGAGCAGCCTTGGATCTCTTTTGAGATTGTTGTTTGGACTCGACCTCTCGTTGAAAAATGATACGTTTGCTTCCGTCCCCTGCTTGTCGGACTCCCAACTTGGAAGATTCTTGTTGGACCGTTTTGGTTGCCATTTTGTGAATGTCTTGATTCAGTTTGGTTGACTTGAGAAAGTTTTGCAATTGACTGTGTGAGAAGCTTTCCTGATCGTAGGCCACTTTCATGAATTCTCGGCGGGATTCCATTCTTCGATTCTTTTGGGCTTCTTCTACCCAGTCTTTGCGTTCGTGTGAAGGAAGTGACGCCACGTAGTCTACATCAAATTCTCCATTGGGAGCTTGATTGCGAAAGGCAGCATACGAAGAAGCAGTGCCCTTCTTTTTGGTCCGCCGCCCGTAGTTCCATTTGGGTTGGACACCAGCTTGGTTCTTTTGCTGTTCATCATGCTCTTTTTGCTTGCGCTCTTGTTCCTTCCGTGACGCCGATGTCAACACGACTGCTCGATCCCAATCATTTGGTTGTTCCCCAAGTTCCTCTTCTCTTGCCTTTCGAGCCGCCTCCTCTTCATCATTTAGAATTTCCAGAATGTCTCGACCGTCGTTTTCCAAGATTTGGGCCTGTTTGACGTATTCGGAATCGACAGCTTCGTTTGATCCCGTGGGGTCGCTTTTTCTTTCTATTTCCTCAATAACTTTATCTTCAGCCTCGGCATCTGGATCATAAAATCCTGGTGCCATTGAACTACTCTTGCTGGAAGCTGCCAAAGCGGAGCCTTTCCTCTTTTTATTTTCAATTCGACTCTTCTCTTCTTCTGAGTTGGCCTTTGTTTCTTCTGCTGTAGCATTCATGAAACTTCGACCATGTTTTTGTAATTGTTGAGTCAACAGTTTCTTTGCCATTCGCACAATACCTCCATCTTCTCCCTTGGCTCGAAACTGCTCTCGCCGTTGCCTCCGTTCCTTCAACTCCCGAAGCTTAATCTCGGGAGTGGCCCCATCAAAGACGAGGACTGGTCGAATTCCATGAAATCGCAACTTGCACAGACGCCGTAAAAATCCCACCAAGTGAGCAGCTGGCAAAGCGCTCCCCGTGTTGGGGTCTTTGAGGGCTTGCAGAAATTGAGTCAACCAAATACTAGCATCAATAGCCAATATCTTTCCCTCCAAGGTTTCAATGGAAATCCGGCGTCCACTTTTTTAAACATGGAAGGGGGACGAAGAGAAAAATAGAGTAGACTTGAGTTACGGTCCTGTTAAAGATGAAGTCTCAATTTGACGATCACGTATTGCAAAAACCACCACGGGTATATGCACGTTTCCAAGAACAACCTCCATTTTGCTTGCTTACATACATTGGTAGCAGCAGACGCCACAGTCCCTTGACACCCATATTGAGGAAAAGATTAAGTTTTACAAGAAAGAAAAAGCATGTAAATTGCAGTACTATGGGTGACTCAAAGCAACGATGGAAGATTTCATGCCACTTATTATTCTTTGCTTTTCATTTGGTTCATACTTTGCGGTATGATTGAGTAAGTCGATTGGATCGACGAAACTGGCTTTTATTATTTGCCGCGCACGCGCCACTTTTGGAAATTAGAGGAAAGGGAATCACACAGGACACAAAATAATAAAAATACATATGCATAAAATTCATCGACCTTCAATGGAGCGGTTCCCAGAGAGCTGGTTATGGGAACCCCTAGATGGTCCGTTTGCCTATGAGCAAGTACCTTATATCTCTATTGGAGATGATTATTCACAGACTGACATTGACGGGAACCCCACTCGAAAGGTTTATCAATGTCTCCTGTGTGAAACCGGGGAAATGAACAGCGATGTTGTCTGCAAGGAACATATCCATAGCTCTAGACATCAAAAGCGATACAAGCTATTGACTGCCCACCAGAAATCATTCCATCAAGAACTGAAACTTCCCCCAAATTTTATATCGAATCTCGAACTTCCAGAAGAAGATACAGCGGAGAACCACGCAGCCCAATATTCAGAACCCCCATTCGACAATTCCTTATCTTATGTTCTTCCCTTTCGAAGGTGGCAGTATGGCCGATACAGGTTTGGATCTTCATGTCAACTTTGTGGAACTGCTGCCTTGCCCACTCGGTTGTCTGTGGTCGAACACTTTTTCAGCAAGCGACATCAAACCATCCGATCCAAAACCTTTCGACACGATCATGTCGAATTTGCTCGCTTGGAGCCCCGAATTTCATCATTGAACGAATTGTATCAGTGGCATGTGGAGCGAGCTATGATTGTATACGTGGCTCAGAAAGAGGCAAGTCATGCAGGTTGCTCATCTCATCCGTATGCCTGGTATCAACTACTCTGGACCCTGGAAACCTACGAGTTGAGGGAACGCATGACGCATCTGGAACTGGCAATTTGGAAAAAGTCATTGCTACAATATGAAAACGACCATAGCTTTGCAGATCTAGAAGAGCTGATCGTCTTCTTCTTACGACCACAAGAGCAGACAGCCGCTCCTCCCATTGCTGAATACTGGAAGGTTAAGCGGGTCACCAGTGGTGCCATGCAGATTATTCTTTGTGTGCTTCCCTATCTGAGAAAGTATCCAAAATTATGATTGGGAACGCTGTACCGTTTCCTAAAAAATTGCTGCTTGCACTATACTTATTCCTATTGGACTAGTGCCTTGGAATCCCGTCGACCGTCTCGCTTTCGGTTACGGCCACTCACATGATGATACAAGTACACCAGACTTTGGGGTGTGACACCACTGATTTGCGAGGCTTCGGCAAAGGTGGCAGGTCGATTGGCATCAAGCTTTTCCAGTTCTTCCTTGCTAAAAGTGGGAAACAGTTTGTGTTGATAGACCATGTCGGGAGGAATCTTCATTCCTTGGGCCTTGCGCCAACTTTCCATGTCCCGGTGTTGCCGTTGGACGTACGATTCATACTTGATGGCAGCTTCGACCGTGTCAGATACAGATTCTGGTGAGGTGGTCATGGGAGGTTCGTCGTCCTCGGCTTCGCCCGCTTCTCGTCGTTCTTTGTCCACAGCAACCATGATTTCTTCCACTTTCTTGAGGGTAACATGGGGCATACGCAACACTTCGACGGAGGTCTTCTTCTCGCCAGACTTCTTGCCCATTTGTGCTCCTCCCATAAGATCCTTTCCTCCTCGTTCAGCCCAGTCAACAACTTTCATGTTGAAGTTTTGCAACTTTTCGATGCGCTCATCGATCATGAATTCCCTTGTCGCCACAGAGGCAATGCGCTCTTCATTAATGACTAGACCAGCCTCTTGACCCTTGCGAGTCAATCGCAAATCGGCATTGTCGGCACGTAGACTGATACGGTATTCTGCTCGAGAAGTGAACATTCGGTATGGCTCGGACGTTCCACGAGTCACCAAATCGTCAATCAATACCCCAATATAGCCTTCGTCACGGCCAATCACAAAGGGAGCTGGAAGAGCAAGGCCACTGGACGCAGCAGCGGCGGCTCTTCCAGCATTAGCACCAGCTACAATACCTTGGGCAGCGGCTTCCTCATATCCAGTAGTTCCACAAATTTGACCAGCCAAATACAAACCACCAATCTTTTTGGTTTCAAGGGTGTGTGTCAAGGATGTTGGGTTTACAAAATCGTACTCGACATCGTAACCTGTAACAACAAAAGAGATTAGGGAACCATCCAATGCAACATTCAAGGAAGGTCGGGGTCAATTACCTGGTCGAACAATTTCAACTTCCTCGAGTCCTTTCATAGAGCGCAAAATCTTTAGTTGAATTTCTTCAGGGTATGGGCCACTCATTCCGTTGGGATAGACAATGTCAGTATTCAGACCTTCTGGTTCCAAGAAACAATTGTGGCCGGTACGTTCTGGGAAGCGAACAACCTTCTTGTAGATGGAAGGGCAGTATCTAGGCCCATTTCCTGCTCCATCCAGCCCATCGTAAATCGGGAGGGTATCTTCGTACTTCATGACAAGCTTGTGGGTCTCTTCGTTGGTGGCTGTTTGATGGCACGTAATGAGACGGTTCTGGGCAATCAATGGTGGTTGTTCACCCCGGAACTGTCTCAAGTGGGAAAACGGAGTGGCTGGAATCTCTGATGGTTGGGGAGCCAAAATGTCCCAATCGATTTTCTTGCCATCAATTCTCGCAGGAGTACCAGTCTTTAGACGGCCAAGTGGGAAATCAAATCTCGCCAACGTTTGAGCAAGCCCGACCGATGGTGGCTCGACCTTTTCGGAATCTCTCAAGTGTCTACCTCCACTATATCTTTCATGCCCAAGCATTAGAACTCCGCGCAGAAAGGTACCTGTTGTGATAACAACCGTCCTTGACAAAATTTCATCCCTGGTTCCATCTGACTTTTCAACAACAACTCCACGAATTCTGGCCTTGCGGTCCGTTACTGGGTCTACCTTATCCGTGTCTTCCAGCATTGGGGCTAAAGATTCCAGTGGGCTCTTTGATTCGTCTAATAGGAGATCTTGAACACTCGCTTCGATCAAATGTAGGTTTGGGTAATCCTTCAGTGTTCGGAACATTGCATCTTTGTACAAATCTCGATCCATTTGTGCTCTTGGACCTCTGACAGCTGGACCCTTCCGTCTGTTGAGCATACGGTAATGAATTCCACCCTCATCTGCAATATTTCCCATAAGGCCATCCAAAGCGTCAATTTCTCTCACCAAATGCCCCTTGCCAATACCCCCAATGGAAGGGTTGCAACTCAACTCGCCAACTGTGTCTAATCGCTGTGTCACTAGTGCAGTCTTGGCACCAGTTCGAGCAGCAGCAGCTGCTGCATCACATCCTGCATGTCCTCCTCCAATTACAACCACATCGTAGTCTATTTCAGAGTCAAAAGCATTGAGTCGAGAGGCGGATAGGTTCCTTATGGATGATGATGATGGTGATGATGTTCGAGCGATATTTCGAGTCAGAAACGCAGAGCTCCGAGACATCAACATAATTACTGATGCTGTTAGGAATGGAACTGTGACTGTCAGCTTCATGGAACAATAAGAACTCGCACGAAATAAGCGGATGTTCAAATCGTTGGGTTTGTGCGTCTCTTACAACAAGGAAGCACTTGTAGTTTGGTACCGCAGGTATGCAAAGAGAAACCAACGTCACATCAAAAAGCATCGAATTCTTTGATTGTTCAGCGTATTTGACTAATACGACTAATATTTCGTGGCAGTAACGGCATTATGAGTGACAGACGGAAGGACAATCTAATTTGAAAAAGTGAAAAGGATATCTAGTTCGTGTACTATTTCTTATGGAATCATAGATTCATTTCGATTTCCATTTACCTCCTTGATACTTTTTCTTGAGTTGTTGTTTACCACCACCTTTAAACACCTTGGAGATGGCCCTGTTCTCATGATTGTTGTTAGAATATCGATGTAGAGAAGACACATGTCCTCTCAGCTGACTTTGGGTTTGGCGATGATGCGTAAATGAATTCATGCTATTGGCAGTCTCTCGTCTCTGCCGTAGACGTCGTGCATCCACTATTAGCCGGAGTAAGGAAGTCGTCGTCGGGCTGGAGAGTGCCTTCATCAGTGTCCACCAACATGATCGGAAAACGGCAACGCAATTCTCCATTTGGAACACTTGGCTGACCTCCACAACTCCACCATCGTGGCAGTGAACAGCATCAATTCTCATCAAGTCGGTCCTTGCATTTGGATCGACATGTCGATAACTCCGAATGTCTCCATATCTATAGAAAAATGTCATCAGAATCTCTGACGAAGTAGCAGATCCTACGCATGTGAGGTGTTGTTGGATCTGAATCGATGTAATAGTATTGTCAGAGACAGCTTTCACACATTTGGAATAACAGCCAGAACAGATATGAACTTACATGATTGGCAACAAGGACATAAAGCTTGAAGCTACCAAGTCCACCAGTGAAAGGCTTGTCCAAGTCATGCTGGTTCAGAAGGATCTTCAGTAGCATGACTACTGGAGCAAAACTGCGGGAAAAAAGACAAGAGGTGTTAGACTGATCCCAAATCTTTCGATCACATTGAATGTTCTATCGTACCTTGGGTGTTGGGAAATCTGCGCTCCAGCATATGCACTAGTATCATTCCCGTTGTGTCCCCCGACACCGATATCGCATTCGTATCCGTATCGCGTCTTCATGTTCAAGATCGGTACTCTTGCCCACTTGCGCAATTCGATCGATGTTGCAACCCCAGATTTGCGTATTCTCTTGGAGAGTTGGTTCAGTTTCGAATTGACAACCAGTCGAACGCCGTCGCTCAACTTCTGTGGCCGTCGCGAGATGATGGATCTTGAAGTGGCATTCGTGACGAACGAAACCTCCATGCCATCCTCATTTATCATTTGATTATCACTGCACGTTGTTGCCGACGAAAGGCTCACGAGACTATGGCTACGTGATCGATTCTTTGGTGTCTCAATGAGATCTTCCTCTTGTTCGTCTTCTTCGTCGTCATCGTTATCATCATCGTCAAGTGCATCCCTCGCCTCCTCAAAGTATACCCCCTCGCCAAATGCATCCAGCAAAGCCATACCAGGAAACTCACTACCATCCCCAGATGTGTCAAGTTTTGATGCTTCTCTACTCTCTAGGCCTTCCAGTTTATCCGCTGTGTCGTCGTCACTATCGGCAGCGACACCAGTTGCCGTAAGCATTTTGTCTTTCAGGGGAGACAGAGGTGCGCTGTCATCCTTGGTGTCATCTGCTTTGGCCTCAGACTCGTCGCCGACGCGATCAATGACAAAGAAAGATGTTTCTTCTTCTATAGTAACCTTTGTCTCAACGGCAATTTCATTTGTTGACGATTTCTCATCTGCGTCTTCGAACTGATCATTCTCGGAGATAGGCGACTCGGAATTTGATGCGGTTGCTGCAGTGTCACTATCATCCTTGCCCGCATGGATTCCTAAAGTTGCTGGTTTCTTCTTAGAATTCACTTTCGATTCTGTTTTGCCATTATTCTTTTCTGACACCTGTGCTAGCTGCTTTTCGAATTCATCAATTGCAGCTTTCCATTTCATAATCTTGGTTTCCTTGTGTGCAAGTTGGGGCTCTTGGAGTTGAGGCAAAGGGGCAGTGTCTTTCAGGACTGGGTATTCTTCTTCGATTTCCGAATCGTCCCTCGAAGGCTGATCTTCCACGAGCCCCCAAATAACAAGGTCTACGTCACTTTCAAAAGTGCAAACAGGTCGGGCAGCATACGATCCAAAGACTTTCACGTCGGAATCTTTAATTCCAAATCTTTCTTTTGCTTCACTACGAATCGTCTCGATCAGGCTCTCTCTGGTTTCAATCTCTTTGGTCGACAGCTGTACATATTTGGAAAACGCCTCGAGCTCATGGTCCAGTACACACATAGATTGAGGATCCACTTTGATTTCATCCAAAAGCTTCATTTTCTTCTGCGATGGTTTCGAGGTAGGTTTCGTCCACCAAGGTATTTGGCCAACTGGAACAGTAGGTGGCATTCGCAATTGAAATTGGGGCTTTGGAGGTGGAGATTTCCGGTTATTGTTCTTGGATACGTTGTAGTTTGGTCTCTGGCGTTTTTTGGAACCCTGCTGAGCATAAGGCTTTCCTTGATAGGATGGCTCATTCATTGCTCGCGTTCGCTTCCCCCAGTTCGCGGATTCTCGAGTTATTGAACCGTATATACTCTCCAACGCTTTTGAATTGTACTTGTTTGTGGCTTTCTGCTTCAGTCTGCCGTTCTTAGATTTCGTGGGCTTGGGGGAATGCGGTTTCCTTTTGCCCTCGTTCTTCTTTTTAATTTGTTTGCTTCTCGCCATGATTAACCAAGAATGCTATCAATTACAATATATGAGACAAAGGTGAAGACAATTCTAGAATTGGAGGCACTTGATTGTCAATGCCGACCTTATGTTATTCATAGTCTGTTGAAGATTGCCACTACAAGAAGAAACGGCAATAATTTTCAAAGCATAATCACGCGTCCGGTGCGCAGAATGAGAATGAGTGGCTTGCTGAGGCCCGATCAGATGAGTCGTGTCAAAGAGATTGTTTAGGCTTTTATTTTATCTACCTCCACATTCTGACGCTTTGCCTCTTGGACAGCAATGGCAAAGCCCATGACAGCATCACTCATCCATTTCCATTTATTCTGAAAGAAAATGGTGCCAAGTGGCCACCCAACATGCCCTCCGGCCTTGGTAAGGAGCAGCATGAGATTGCCGCTTCCAGTTTTGACAAGGTTGGTCGGTTCCATGAGACCCTCATTGGCCGCCGTGCTTTTCCATGTCACTAGCGGGTCGTCAAGCGCTTGCAATACCACTAGAGGTGCTGATATAGAGTCAATCTTCTTTCCCTTGTAGGCATCTAGCGATATGGTCCCGTTGGCGTTGTGCTCAATGTCTCCAAGAGCACTCATTTCTTTGTAATAATGTAGAACGTCATCATACCCACTGTAGGGCGCCACTGCAGCGATATCCAATTCCTGTGAAACATCGGCCGAATTAGTGTTCTCAATAGTAGTCTACCATTCTAGCAGCAAAAATAGAACTTACAGTAATATGCTTGGACCGCATGAGACGGAGGAAATTGGCCTCAGAAAGACGAGCTTTGACTCGGTGTCCCCACTTGCCAAGAAAGAAATCATCTCGAGCAGTCTCGGCAAGCATTGGTTGCCACAAACGTTGAGCCCGATAGAAATGTTCTTGATACCTCATATCCAAACCGCCGGAAAGGGCAATACCGCCATCAAGGGGAACCTCCGAACCATAGGATGCAAAGTAGTTGTTTAGAATGATTGCCCCCATGCTGTATCCAACTCCTACAATTACCTGTTCTGCTGAAGTTGCTTTTCGGAGCGCCATCGCTGCTGTATGTGCATCGGTTGTACGAGCTCCATTGAACAAGTTCCAGCTGAAGGAAAGAAGAAGAAAATCAGTTTAGCGGCCAATCAAATGAAGGAGAATATCGCAAAAACAACTCGAACTTACCCTCTGATTGGCAAGTCCATCAGCCCTCTTGCAACCATGACTACAATTGTTGCCCCTTCTGCCGTTCGTCGAAATGTCAAATCTCGAATGTACTCTTCGCCACTGCCACCATTCAATCCGTGTAAGACCATGTAAATGGGATTGGAGCTATTGAATCCGCTTTCCGGAAAGCTGACATCCAATGCAACGTATTCGTTGTCTTCGGTTTCTAGAAAAAGTCGATGCCATTCGGGGACTGGCAAATGATTGGCTAGAAATGGTAATCCAGTCCTAGAGTCACCAGATGGCATCCAAGATGTGGCCCCATTTTCTTTGTTGTAGGTTCGGTACTTCTCAGGCCAATTCTGAATAATCGAGGAAACGAATGAATTGGAGGAATCAAAGTATATCCCCTCATCGATTCTAACCCCGTCCGCTTTGTCTCCAAAGTTTAGCGAATTGGTCTCGTAATCGCAAACCAAATGGCTGCCCAACAGCACCATGATGGACACGAAAATTCCCAGGCGATCGAGGTCGTAGCGAAAGACGACTCGAATGGCCAAGATAACCGAGACCACAAACATGGCAGCCCCATAATACGGCCCATTGTCCAGAACATACAAAGTATCTGTCATCAAAACCAAACATGATGCAACGGACAGAGCGCACGTAAATTGAAATCGCTTCGATACGGTGTCCTCCTTTTTTCGTTTCCCACTTCTCCCCTGAAATTCGCGCATTGCCATCATCAGTATTCCAAGAGGACCCAGCCCGCCGGCAAATAGACGAACCCACAACTCCGCCATAGCCAAAAGGGCTGGCAAAATCATATAAAGACCGGTGATTGCTGTTTCCACCATAGATTCACCTTCAAATCGGTGGTCCAATCGCCCCATTGGTGGGACTCCTTCCATTTCGAAAGGTGGTGCATCGGCATTGCAAAATGGATGTGTGCTCGGAAGACTTAATGATTGAATAAACTGTGCACTTGATTCTGTGAGAACACTGAAATCGAGTTCTTTCTGTGAAGAGCAGTACTCTTGCAATGACCACAGCATGTTGATGGATTCTTTTATTTTTCTATACAGTATGATATTGAATATAATGTGACGACGATCGACGACGAGTTTGAAGTTGCAGAATTTTGGTCAAAAATGAAGTACGTCATACGGTCGGACGAGTCGTGCATTGCAACCGCTTGCTTCTTTTCTGATCCACCATCTGGCCGTTCAACTTCTACTTCACATCCTTAGAAAAGAGCCATTACAATAACAACGATATGGAACTATGTACATATTATATAGAGTCCACTTCACTTTAAAGAGATGGAATTGTCAACATCGAGAATCGGCTCGTCAAGCGGTATTCCCTGCCATGTTTGGTGTAGCGACTTGGTAGAATGGGAACCAGCTCAATGCTCTTTGGCCGCTGCTTCCAATCGCTCCGCAAGAAGTTCGCCAAATCTATGACTCTGGTCGCTATCACACGAAGCGCATACCTCGTCTACGCCATTCAGCAGAGCTTTGCCTTCTTCCTCTCCAAACATGCGTGAATGAAGAGTGAACCAACTGTGACATCGGCAGGAGCAACCCAAACAGAAGTTGCAGTGGCCGCATACAGGACCATTCTTACAAGGACACCGGCTTACGCGGTCGAATCTCATTAAGCCTGCAATCCATCAAGAATCAAATCAGTTTACTGCTGGCATCATTCCAACAACCATGTCATAGACTACTTACCGGTATGGTTTAAGCTTGCATGCTTCTTCGGATTGGTCGGGTGCATCTGAACCGTACACATAAATTTCTTGTCGCCATGACACTCAAGGCAGATATTAAAGTCTTTCGATAAGAGTTTTTCGCAACCATCACAGTGGTAGTATACATTGGAGAGCTCCCTCGAACATAGTTTGCAGGCAAAACCATCGAGTCCATAAGGGTCTAATGGAAATTTCATCGGATCTTCGTGTGTATTTGGCCGTTTCGCTATCGCTACACGTTCTCCGCGTGCTCTAGACGTCGAGGCAGAAGAAGAAGCATTCCCCAATGTATTCAGCTGCTGCTTCATAACATGTCTGAGACTTGGCAATATTCCGCGGCAAACTGTTTTTGCATCTGGTATCGATGAAACAACCGACGTGTGTGAACCAGAATTTCCAAACAGCAGAAAACTGTCCAGCTTTGAAGCAGTTTTCTGGCTAGGATTTAGCATCTTTGCCATCTGAAAGAGTGAAAACTCTGGAATGGCAAGGGACAGCCTTCCATTCTTTCGGTTCAGTACAACTGCTTCAAGCACAGAACTGATCTCACGATTGATGCCCCCTACGGACACCCCTTTGTACATCCAATCCCAAGCGATGCTCACACATAAAGTCTCTTTGGTAAGCTTGTGTTCTTCGATCGTTTTCTCCCGCAATTTCTTGTGGCAGTCGCCCTCATGTAGTGGGGCAATCGACATCTTTCGAAACGCATGCAGTCGACCTTTGTTGATATGGATAAGCTGTCCCGGCTTGACAATGCAGACGGTGGGACAATATCCCATGTCACGGCACTTTTGAATCTGGCCTTCGGTGGGCCACGATGGCTTGTCCCCCTGCAAGCACAATTATCGTCAATGAGACCTTTGATCAAGAGGACCACTCCAAGAAAGATTGAATTCACTTACCAAAAGATCTCCGTGGGGTTCCTGATACAATCCATCAAAATAAGTTGGGAGCGAGTTGCGGTTTTCCTCGCCTCCAAAATTACCAGTAAGAATCATCAGAGCATGTTTCTTGTGACGTTCGGTGAGCCTTCTCAACATCACGACCTCGTTGTATCCACTTATACAGAGATGGCCAGAATCAACTGTTCCATGTCCATCCTGGTGAAAGTGTGTAAATGCAGCAGGGGGAGTCACATACATGTTTGGTCCCATAAATGGACGCGCCGTGCTTGTGACCTTTGATACATTCAGACGAGTGAGCATCAAGGAGCCATGTAATTGCTAATCAAGAAATATATAACTCACCGAATTCATCAAGCAATGAGATCCACCAGGTAGCACATCATGATATCGGAAGCTTTCCAAGAAGTTGGATTTTAACTTTGGTAGCAATCTGTTAATGTCAAGATCGATCATATACAGTGCAGTTGTCCCCACATTGTCTAACGTTTCATATTGCCCTTCATGATTTACGAAAGAGAAAGACGGATCCGCTCCGTCCATCATGCCGCAAAGATAACTTTGGCGCTTCTCAAGGTATTCAATGTAATCTCCAACTTTCATCGAAACCATGCCGTCATATTCAAAGCATTTTTCAAATCCGTCCTCAGTTTTCACTGTGTCAAACCGTCTGAACTTGTGAAAATACTCGTTCCCAAGAACTCTCCGAAGATATTCTGGCTTCCAATAGTCTGGATTTAGAGATTGAACAGAGACTAAACCTTCAGAAATGAGGGTCACGTCATTTCTTTCCATCATTTGCAAGAAGAAAGCCTCATCTGTTGGATGCATGGAAAAAGCATTTGAAGAAGAAACCGAAGAAGAGAAATTGGCAAGAAGAACTCGTTGTTCGTTGTCCCAAGACCACTGGCATTTCCCTGTCTTCGGTAGATCACCGAACGGCGGCGGCGGTGGAATACGCCTCAAGGATTCAGGCGGAACTCCTATGGAATTCGAGGATGGAAGCGGTGGGTTGTGATACTGGTGGGCTTCCTCTTCGACATAGAAACTGTTGGAATCATCCTCTTGGACAAGGGTTCCCTGGCCTTGAGCGCCGCTTGGCACATTATCAGCAACAGGATTCCCAGCAGTCTTTCCTCCATCCGTCGTGTGCCGAACCTTTTGTGTCGGTGTCTCCTGCGGCGCTTGAGAGGAAGCATACGAAGAGCTGCGGCCATCGTCCGACTTGGGACTTTTCTCGTGATCACTCGGTCTCGGGCGCTTTCTAACAGTCGTTTTTTTGGGCGGCGCTATCAACGTTGCTGCATCCCGTGCATGCAGCTTTTTCCACTTCTTGAGTTCTGAAAAATATCCCGGGGCGTCCTCCTGAGGTAGGCAGCCTTTGGCATGGGGAGAAATCGCATTCCAGATCTGCTTGATACTACGTGTAAGCTCGCTGTGAGGCAATTTCATTTGGCAGGCAACATCCTCTCGAAGCATGTCGATAAGAAATTCAGGGCAATTTGGAACAAAAACAGGTCTTGGGGTCTGTTCACCAAAGTGCTTCAATTTCCACTTGCGAAGTTCTTCGATTCCATTTCCTTCTGAAGGAAGACTCTGCTTGACGTGTTCGGGTACTCTTCTCCACACGTGGTCAACTGTGTTTGCCACATATTTGGTTGAATAGCTCCTGTCCTGTTCTCTGAAATCACTCTCCAATATTTCCCGAAGAGCGATGGGGCAATCGACAAAGGGCAGACCTTCGCCCATTTTGACATTGCCACCATTGTTTTCTTCTTGGTCGACGTTTTCAGATACTCGCTTCTTTGCAACATTTTGTATCTCACCTTCGCTGTCGCTAATCACGGCCTGCATTTCCTGTTTTCTCTTTCGACCATTTGAGGTAACGAACGTTGGGTCTACGGCATTTTCTTCCTGCCCAGATAGAATATGCTCTTCTCCTCCCTCCACTTTTGCGTTGTCGATGATTAGGCAGTCTTCATTGTACACTGTGGATCGCTTGCTTGTTCGTTCAGAACGACGGGCTTGAGAACTAGAGTCATCTTTCACAGCAGCGTCATCCTCATTTTTTTCAAAAAATACGAGAACTTTGATTTCATCAGTCTCGCCCTTTCTTTTCGCTCTTTTAGTCATGAGACTAGCTGGGACCGTTGCCTCAAGCGTTAAGACTTCAAAGGAGATTGAATCGTTCAATGAACTGCTGTCACTTGCGGCGTCTTGGTCCTTCGTTGAGCCCCGGTGCTCATCCGAGTCGACCAGTTTATTGAGCTGACTGTATGCCTCGGCCATCATTGTTGAAGGTGTGTTTGATCCAATCTGATCCTTTGTTGCAGTCGCAGCTTCTTCTTCATTTTTGATAGGGTCATCTTTCACAGCAGCTTCACCTTCATTTTTTCCGAAAAATACGTGAACTTTGATTTCGTCAGTCTCGCCCTTTCTTTTCGCACTTTTATTCATGAGCCTAGCTGGGACTCTGGCCACAAACGTTCGGTTTTCAACGGAGATTGAGTCGTCTGATGAGCTGTGATCACTTGCAGCATCTTGGTCATCATTCGAACTATCGTACTTGATCGATTCGGCCATATTCTCTTCAACTTGTTTGCTATCACTTGCAGCATCTTGTTCCTCACTCGAACCATCGCGCTTGACTGATTCGGCCATGTTTTCTTCAAGTTGCTTGTATGTTTCGGCCATGATGCTATTGGTTCCTTCGGTCTTAAAGGGGGAAGACATGTTCGATCCAACCTGATTGCTTACTCGACTCACTTCGGACTGACTGATTTCCGTAGCGTTTTCGCCCGCATCACCGGGCGTAGTAGTAGTCGATGAATCACGCTTCACCAAAGCGTTGATACTCGTGTATTGGGCAGCCACTTCGTCCACCGAGTCTTCTGATTGTGGCGGCGAATGCTTTGCAAACGAACTCAAGCCCAGCAAAATTCTGGATGCATCCATTTCATCCGGATTGGCATTCTCAGGTGTGGTGCGATCTGAATCATCGACCATGGTATCAACAACCATAATGGGGATGATCCGCAACAAGGTTTGTTATTGTCTATATTGATTGTGCAGTAGGAGATCGCGTTGTTCCTTATTATTCGAAATAAGCGTTTTATAATGCCGTGCCTGCTGTCTTTCAGACGGTCGAATAAGTCAATCCATGAGAACCCGGAAAAGATTGAGATAATGAGACTTTTTAACTCCCTGTCAACTTTGGCAATTCAAATCGCAGTCATTATGTTGCAACACCAACAATGACCTTGGCTTGACCTACCGGTATGTTTGTCTCAAATCTCTATTGGGAAGACAGAGAAGACCAAAGACAAAATACAAATGGCAATGATAGTAATACCTGCATGCCCTTGACAAAACCATTATCATGCCCAGTTTCATTTTGAGGGTCATATGGGTACAAGTGAAATGAAGGAAGACAATGCGTCCGGATTGAGTGAATTGCACTGAAAATGGACAGACGCTTATAGTAGGCTTTCTACATACATCACATTCGAAAAAGTCTGGCTGCTCAGATTTGATACCGGTACCTTTTGAACTAGCTAGGTGATATTTGGATTGGCATTGCCCATGCTATCTACTTTAGGGTCTCCACAGACAGCATCAAAAGGCATGGGAATCATGGTCTCCTAGTGCTTTGGTGTCTGGATAGTAAATAATAACTGAAACATTAATCGGCAAAAATTGAAGCAACAGCACGACCAAGTACATGATGGGGAATATGGCTTATTCCTGCTGATGCCAAGAAAAAACCTACTTTTTTAAAGCCCAATGTTGCATTTGAAGCCTCAAACCATACAGAGTGAGTATCGGCCTTTCAGGATGATATTAAGAATGCCAGGTCCATCAGCAGTAGCTACAAAGAAAAAGGACAAGAATGTGCAATTCTTGCTACTTTAGTGAGAATGTCGGAGGTGAGTTTTGCATTTCTAATCATGCCAGATCATCTTCGGATGCTTGATTTTGAAATAGGATGAAGAATTACACTGGGGGGGGGATGGCAACAGGGCAGGTTCCCACATCGAACAAGTTCATTGCAAACAAGCAAATGCAACTGGGCTGTTAAGAAGAACCAATAGAAATATTGAGGATACAATTAATATTGGACTGGAACATGTTTGATGTTTGAAATACGAGTGATGCTACATGCGGTATTTTACGATACCACAGACTTGGTAAAGGGGGACATTTGAAGTATTTGGGGGACCAATGTCTTGGCCATACTGAATACTGCGTCGAATGTGATGTACTGCCATATGGCATCAGGGCGCAAGGGTGGGTCAAAATGCATTTCCTCATATTAATGCAATGGTGCTATTCATCCATGACTGCTCAACACACTGTATGCTGAGAAGCTTGGGCAAAAGTTGAAGACAGCACAGTCCAAAGAAGAGTACTTGTAGACTTCAAATGATTTTTGGGGTTTGTTTTCAAACTGAAATAGTACTGTGTTAGGCTTTCTGAACCATACACGTCAGATCGTGCGCTCTTCCATTACGAGTATTCTTCTCATCGTCATCTCTCGTTGCCAACTACTCGTATCTGTCGTGAGACGGCATTGGACAATGCTGAAACACAGGGATATTAAAAAGCATAATCATGTCAGAAAATCATTCAGAAGACAGCAATGGGGAAGGAGAGAAAGCAAAATTGAATAATATTCGTACCGAGCTATGGCTGTTCCTGCAACTTGCCATTCCAACGACCATTTTGAATCTTGGATTCATTGTGAGTCCACTACTGACAGCCTCCCATATTGGCAGAACGTTTGAGCCCGCCTTTCTCAGTGGTTTCACATTGGCGAATCTTACTGGAAACCTTTGCACTTTCAGTCTCATGTCGGGTCTCTTTGGCGCCGCGGACACGTTGGGGCCACAAGCCTTTGGTGCGGGGAAAAAGAAGGAAGTTGGTTTGATTGCACTGAGGGGATTTGCTTGTGCAATCTGCCTGCTGCTTCCGATCAGTCTCATTTTGGTATTCTATATCAAAGATATTCTGATAGCGCTGGGGCAAGATGAGGAAGCTTCTAAGCATGCTTCTGAATGGTATCGAATATATGTCTTGTCGTTCCCATTCAACATTACGTACATGGCAATTTGGAAATTTCTATCGGCACAACACGTTATGAAACCGTTGATTATGGCGTCGATACCATCCTGCGCTGTTGTTCTTCCTCTCGCTTTGGATGTATTGACCGAATCATTTGGCTTTGTGGGATCAGCGCTCGCCTATGTCGTATTTCAAGCCTTCCAAGCTCTGTTTTTGATTGTATACCTCTGGTGGAAGAAACCATACGAGGACGGCACTTGGCCTGGAATAGAATGTTGGCGCGAAGCGATCTTTCAATACAAACCGATGAAGGAATACATTCATCTCGGTATTGGTGGAATGTTTGCGCAAAGTGAATGGATTTTCTGGGAGGCACTTGGTCTTATCATTGGATTGCTGGGTGTAGTGCCCCTGTCCGTCCATACCATTCCGAATCAAGTCACAATGTTACTGTGCTTGGCTCCATTCAGTGCAGGAACAGCGCTGACGATACGAATGGGCAGTACTTTACCAATCGATGTCTCACATGCCAAGAGAATAGCAGTGGTCTGTGTTCTTCTGACGGTGGCAGTTTTCTCTGTGGTGAATTTTGTGGCGTACATTTCTTCGGACTGGATCATTGGGCTGTTTACAAATGATGAAGATGTAACGGAATTGGCAAATGCTATTTGGTGGAAGGTCTGCATTTTCAACGTTAGCGTTGCAACGTTTGGAGCTCTCACTGGCGTCGCCAACGGGTTGGGGATGCAGTGGACACTTGCTGGAGTGAACATCTTTTGGCTATGGGTTGTCGGATTGCCGGCAATCTACTACATGGCCTATGTGAGGGAGGGTGGAGTCGAGTCCGCCTGGAGTTGGATCAATTATCCGTATGTGGGCATGAATTCCTGTTTGATTGCAGCCTATGCCATGACGAATTGGTACCAAATCGCTGACAAAATTCAAAAAGAGGAGGTGATGCATCCGCCGGTATATCTTGGCCATATGATGGAAAACTTCGAAAGGGCTCCCCTAATTAACTCCACGAATGAGAATACGAAGAGTAAACAATATGGCTCGGACTTTCAGGAGCAAGGAATTTGACGGGAATCATCTATAGGGAATAGCCCATGTAAGATAAGAACGGCGGCTTGCCGTCTATTGCTAGCTACTTTCATTCCAAAGAACACACAGTAATAATCACATGTGATGAAATAGTTTTGTGTCGATTGCTATGTATAAGATTCCAATTCACTATTTTCCTGTGAACCATCAGTGCAGAAATATATTGACGCAGCAAGAAGGGAGAAGCATTGCCTCGCTGAATGCCAAATAATCGGATACTGCGTTTGATCGCATTTTCATTCTTCGTTATGTCTTTTGCACCTTTTATCCATAGTCATGTGCCATCATGCTCCTGCTGTTTCAAAACACGGCATTCACTCACTCGTCACCGATGCACTTTTTTTTCTTGTCAGCTGAATTTTCTGTTTTGACATATCCCAAGCTCACAAGAGATGCAGAATCAATCATCCATATATAGCTTCTTTCGTCATTACTATTATTATTGTGTCATATACAACATGGACAACTGGGCGAACGCAAGCCACCATTTGCAAAGGTCATGGATGACAAGAAATCTAACTGTGACTGTTGGCCTGATGATGATGATGATGATGCTAAATGCCGATTGGATGTTGAATGCATTCTCGTCGATGGATCATCATTTGATGGCTGGGCTATTGTTGCTGACGGCACATCGTCAGATGATGCTGAATAACGACGATGATGGTCATTCTGATTATTATTTGGTGATGATGCGATTTCCCAGGGAAATGAAGCAATAACTTTCGATGCCGTCTCGTGTTCGTCCCTATCGCTGCGACTGATCTCACTTGGAAGGTTGCTGGTCGTGTTTTTCTCTTTAGCACTATGATTCATTTGTTCTTGACCTTTCTCCACACTTATTTTGACCACCATGTCATCTGATGAATCGTCATCATGATCGTCGTCCCCCTTGTTGGCCTCGTTATTGTAGTTGAATGACGTCTCCCGGGATCTATTCCATAGGTGGGAAGTTGCATAGAGGAGTATTCCAGTCGCAGCTAGCAGTGTTGCGGTGGAGGGCAATAATGACGAATTTTGCATTGGTAGCATCGCCGCCGTCAATGCTATTCAAAGCAAGTCATTATTAATATGGTTGGAACTTTTTGTGCAGTGTTTCGGAGAAAAAACTTCAATAAAATGTCTTGCGACGCACACGACTATGACTCACTCAATTGGTAAAAATTTGAATGAGCCACAAATTTTTATTGGAATCATATATCATGCTGGACATTGAATCATCATCACAGCCAATCGCCAAGGAAAGCCAGGCCGAGAAAGATTCCAACAGTGGACCAAAACCGGGTCGTTGTTTGGTACGAACTTTGGTCACACTGGGTGTAGTTGGAGCGGTTGCTGGTCTGGTAGTCCTACTGCTGGCCCTGAACTCTAAATAACTGGACTGGTGGTGCTGAAACACTATGACAAGCATTGGGATGCAAAGAGAAGCAAGAGGAAGTATCCAGTCGATATGGGACCCCTCCAACAACAAGAAGGTGCAGGAGAACGACAGAGCGAGCAGCGGGCGAGACGCATAATCATCAAGCAAGAAACAGACTGAGAATGAAACTAGGACTATTTTAAAATACCCATCATTTTAGAAAGACGCATCATGATTCCAACGATTGATTGATTCCTTCCACCAGTCATCGATTTTGCAGCCGTACCCAGAATTTTGATTCGGAGGCAAGTTCGCCCAAAACTAGTCTTGACACGACTGACTGACTCCATCTCGAAAATTGATTGTCAATATAATTGTCGCTGTGCTCATGTCACAATATAAAATTACAGCAACATCAATATAACTAACACAGCAGCAGCACCATCATGGACTATGAATCAGAGCCAATCGCCCGAGAAAGCTACCAGCAAGATGCAAACAGTTTATCGAGAAGAAAGACAGGTCGCTTTTTGGTAGGAAGTTTGATCACACTGGTGGTAGTTGGAGCAGCGGGTGTGGTAGTTCTCTTTGTTCTCTAAATTGTACCATAGTACCTGGTGGTGGTGGTGGTGGTGGCTGTTGCGAGGAAAACGTGCCAAACATGGCATGCAACGGAAAGCGAGAAAAAGCAACCACCAGTCAATGCTGCGAGATTGTACAAGACTTCACCAAATATCGGCATGTGCATACTAGTAGAGAGTGAAGAAGCAAAATCCATATCAAGAAGTCCAGCCGTACTAGTAGTAGTGCGAAGAACAACACAAAGAACAACACAAAGAACAAGAATAAACAAGAATAATCAGCAACAATAATGAATGAATCTATCTAGACCTACTACCTATCACTAGTACTAATGCATCGCAATCATCATCCGGTTGGCTCCCTTCCGGCAATCATGTACAATGCAAACTGGTGATGATTGATTCCTTCCTTTTCGACAAAAATCTGGTGCTGGGACTACAATACCGGTATGAATAATAGTGATTAGTGATAGGCTTAGCGTGAGGTTCATACGAGTCGACCAATTCGGGACTTGGAGAGTGAGTCCCACTAATCAACGGCATTGTTTCGAGACATGCAGCATGTCATTCACGACATCCACATACACCAGCCGAGGTTGTGACAGGGGTTCGTATCTCATTACCATGACTGACTCCCACTTATTTTATGTTCGTTGAAGCGATTCAAATGAGTGCATGCAACTGCTAATGTTAATGATTCAACTGAAACGCTACTGTATTAACCATGGAATCACAATCATCATCATCATCATCATCATCACAAAGCCCACAAGTACAACCACAATTGGTCGTTGTAGAACAATATCAACAAAACATGATGGAACAACAACGACAAGAGGAAAAACAAAGTCACGACAAACGGCGCCGTCAACGATTCTGGCTCTTCATGGCCATTTTTAACACGGTTCTGATTGTTGCCGTTGTCATTTTGGTCGTCACATTGCCTAAAGAAGATGACCAATCATCCTTGTCCGAAGCCGAACGGTTGGCCTTGTTGCAACAGCAACAACAGCAAGGAATGACATCCGCACCGCCGACCAGCAGTCCCACGACTCCCAATTTGAGGCCTACTGTCAACCCTACCATGAATCACCTGCCTAATAACAATACCATCCATCCCGATGAAGAACGCACACCATTCCCTGGGGGTTCTCATGACGACGACGGTCCCATCCAGCCAACAAATTCTGATGAATTCCTTGCCGATTTACTCTTGGCTCTGAAACTCGAACCTAGCTATTTGGAGACCTTGCCACGGGACTCGTATATGCAAAAGGCCTTGAAATGGATGCTGCTAGAAGATCAACAATATTACCCAATTGGTCGGACCATGCCCCACATTTTATTGGAACGCTTTCTCCTGGCGGCCATGTATTTTGCCACAAATGGGCCAAATTGGAAGTACGAATGGGAAGATTTGCCCCGAAATAGTTTGAGTCTAGCATTTTTGAAAAATACCTCCGTCTGCGAATGGGTCGGTGGTGACTATATGGACGATCAAGGTGTCTTTTGCGATGAGAACAACGCGCGAGTCACGGAACTGCACGGTACGTACCGGTATTAAGGTTTATGTTCTGTGATGTCTATATATTGATGGTGCAATATGTATGTCCCTCATGACACTTGTCTCTATCATTACTGCAATTTTTAGTGAACCATTGTATGGAGGGAGTCTTTCCTTCAGAGATTGCCTTTTTGCCAGATCTACAGACACTCAATTGGTGTACGTTGTCATTGTCATATTCCCCGAACATCTGATTCATTCATTCATTCATTTGAAACCCTTCGATCCCTCAACGTTTCCACTTTAGGCAATAACAAACTGGTCGGAACTCTTCCCACGATATTGGGTTCCATGTCTTCGCTCACAAGTCTGAGTCTGTGTACGTTTTATATACATGAGTGTTTTATTGCATGATCTTG